GAGGGCGGCGATCCCGCCGAGCCGCTGCCCCTCTGAGGGTTAAATATGTCTTTAACAGGAGGCACTGCTTGTTTTCCGCAAATCTTCAGCGTAGTTCAGGAGAAAGGTGTTTTCTCCGCTGTTTTGCTGCAGTACCCATTCTCGTAGAACGGTTTGGGTTGGAAGGGACCTTAAAGACCATCCCATTCCACCCCCCTGCCATGGGAACGGACATCTCCCCCCAGCCCAGGTTGCTCCAAGCCCCGTCCAACCTGGCCTTGGACACCTCCAGGGATGGGGCAGCCACAGCTTCTCGGGGCAACCTGCACCAGGGGCTCACCACCCTCACAGTCAAGAATTTCTTCCTGATGTCTAATCCAAATGTCATGCCTTGGTTTGAAACCGTTACCCCTCGTCCTATCAATTCTATCCTTATCTGTTGGATTTGCGTGGCTTGTAGCTGTAATTGGGAATTCTGCTCTGAAATATCATCTGGAAACAAGACTGCAGTTTGTCTTCCCCTCATAGAAAGCTTGAGTGAAAGTTTTCTTGATATGCTTCTAGCCAGTGTCTTCCAGTGGACCTACTTGTATTTTCTCCATAAACACTGTCAAAAAGCAGGCCAGGAGGACTGTGCAATAATGATGGCTCAGCAGAAATGTAAATACCGATAGATAGAAAGATAGCGGTCCTCCTAGACAGTGAGAACCATGACCCATCACAGCCAACTTGTAACCTAGAGCTCCACCTGTATTTAAATATAGACTGCTCTGAAGAGCCCAGTCCTGTCCTCTGACCCTCTCATTCTGACTTGGGGCTCAAGAGGAGCCAGTACTGTGTGTGCGGGTTGAGAAATCTCTTGAATTTGAGCAAAACTTCCTCCAATCAGGTGTGCATATGGCTCCAGCTGGACCACCAGTGGCACTTAACTCCTCTGTTGGGTCGCTTTCTTTTAAATATGTTCTCTCTGGAGAAAAGGATTGCAAAAGTAGGGGGGAAGGATAACAAGGTACAAGGTGGAGAAGGAGGATAAATAATGCAGGAGAACAGGCTTTTGAGTCAAGGCACAGGACAGACTGGGAAAGCAAATGGCTTAGAGTAACTTAAATACCTGCTGGTTTGTCACCGAGTGACCCCCGCCTCAGCCCTGCAGGAGCCAAATGGATGAAAGGATAGAGTGAGATGCCAAAAAAAACCAGGGGAGGGAATTGGAAGAGACTTAAAATTCAGCCTTTTAGTTCTAGTTTGCCCTAAACCAGTGAAACGTTCCCAGACTGGCCTCAGGAAGTGGTACATTTCCAGCTTTACTATGTGACCCGTAACTCAGAGGTACATAAGAAGCCACGTGAGTAAGTTCAGATACCCACACCCTGCCTGGCGTGGAAAAGCAGCAGCTTTTGAAGATGAGGTTGAGAAGCACCAAGGAGCAAAGCCTGTCCCCCACCCACCTCCTTCACCACCGCAGAGGTTCTGGAAGTAGCTTGGCTTGGCTTTCCAAGCAGCTACCAACAGCACTGAATTACTTAAAAATTGATGTTTATTGTGCACATGGTGTGCAGCTGAGCGAGCTGCTGTGGCTCCTTGCAAGAGAAAAAATGCTTGTTGAATGAACCATGATCTGCCCCTGCCTTTTTTTTTTTTTTTTTTTTTTTTAGGTTTAATTGAATGTGGGAGAGACAGGTTTGGAACTGCTTTTGGGTGATGGCAGAGGAACTTCTCTTAAGTAATCTGGGGTGGTTCCAAAAGGCATTCCAGTTCTCAGAAAAATAGGTATTACTAGTCATTGCTTATGTGCTACGAGTTGAAAGATTAATAATTTTCTCTGCCAAAGTTTACAGTCGGGCTTTACCATGACAGTAAATCAAATACATGTACTTGCCTGGGCAGCTGACCTGGTTTGAACTCAGCAAGTGTTACTCACAGTGATGACTACATTTTTGGAACAAATCCTCAGCTCTGTTTTTTAAAGCAACCTTAACCTTGTAAAGCATTAACCAGCCTCTCCAGCCCATTTCAAACACCCAGTGCCCTTGGTGCCTTGGCAAGTTATGTAGACCCAGTCGGTGTAACCAGCCAGATGACAGAACTGGACTGAGACAAACGATAAGGGAGTAGCCGGCCTGTTCTGCAGTCAGACCTTCCCCTGAATAAGGACAACTCCCAGCTGGTGCCAATGGGAGAAACAACTCGATCCTTCCACTTATTCCTCCGCGCTCCATTCCTCTTCCTTTCTCACTTTTGGCTTGCGTGCTGCAGAAAGACAGTTAGAAATAGCTGTTCTTACATGCTCAGGCTGTTTGATTTTGGAAGTTGGCATTGGTTTTACTGGAGATAGAAGAGCACCCACGAGCAGAGAATAAAACAGCCCATCCCCAGGCAAAGCTGTAACAGAAGGGAGGAGTGAAAGGTGCAGGAGCTGAGCATCTCCTCCTTATTCAGGGCTTCTATTGAAGTCAATGACCCAGATTTCTCTGACTTCAAATGGCTGTTTTCAGAGAGCTTGCCGGAGGCACGGTGCTGGGGAAGGTCAGGCAGAATTTAGCCTGAAGTATTCTGCATGCATAGGCTTATCAGATCTGGATCCGTAAAACTTGATACGGAAAAGCCGTGTTCTTCAGCGAGGTCTGTGAAAGTCACTGAAGTGACTAGTACCCTGCGCTGAAGGCTTGCAAGGCTGCCCTAAGCTTGGGATTTCTTTCTGTCCTGTGCTTCTGTGATCAGTTCTGTGATATCCACCTTGCTCCCAGATTTCCCTCTTAAAAAAAAAAAAAATTGCAGAAAACCCAAACTAGTTTTTAATCCCAGGGGTTTAGACTATTAAGAACCCAGAAACGTGGTAAACCTCTCTTATCTTTGGCAAGAAAGTCTGACCTTCTACAGAAAACTGGCAGAATTCCTACAGAAAAAAAAAAAAAGAAAAAAAAAAAGAAAAAAAGAAAAATCAGGCTTCTAAACGTAAAGGCAGTAAAGTCATGCTATGTCTCTTTATGAAAGAATCATAGTAACTGCATGTATTTTAAAAGAGCAGCAAGTAGTGCAGAAACGCTCATTATTAATCTGTGTGCAGTTTATCCTGTAGATTTAGATTCATTAAGTCTTGCAGATGAGACTGGTTTGCTTTGGGTTTTTTTCCCCCCTCTTTTTTTAATGTACTCCCACTTTCAGTTATATGCGGCAGCAGAACAGGTTCCTGATGCTAACGTCGCCCTGCAGCCCCCTTCACTGGCCCACCGGGGGGATTCTGCTCAATTAC